CATCCATCAATGAGTGAATATGCTTTCTTCTTCAGCACACAGATCCTTCTCTAAAACAGACTATATCTTAGGTCACAAAGCAACTCTTAGAAAATACAAAAAAAAACAGAGATGATACCTTGCATTCATCAGATCATAATGGTATGAAAATAGAAATCAACAATAAAATACATCATAGAAGCTACTCTAACACCTTCAGAATAAATAATATGCTATTGAATTACCAATGGATAGCAGAAGAAATCAAGGATGAAATAAAAAAATACTGAGAGATAAATGAGAACACTAATACAACATATCAAAATCTCTGGGACACTATGAAGGCAGTACTAAGAGAAAAGTTCATTGCATTGAGCTCATTCATTAAAAGAAATAGAAAGTCACAAAATACATGACCTAATACTCCATCTCAAAGCCCTAGAAAAAAAAAAACAAATCAACACCAAAAGCAGAAGACAGGAAATGATTAAAATCAGAGCTGAAATCAATGAAACTGAAATAAACAAAAAAAACGATGAAACAAGAAGTTGGTTCTTTGAAAAAATGAAATTGATAAACTCTTAGTCATGCTAACAAAGAGAGACAGAAAACTCAAATTACTAAAATTTGTGATGAAAAAGGAAATATCACAACAGACACTACTGAAATACAAATTATAATCATAAACTATTTTGAAAATTTATACTTTAACAAAATAGAAAATCTTGAAGACATTGACAGATTTCTAGAGACATATGACCTACCCAAATTGAATCAGTAGGACATAGAAAATTTAAACAGATAAACTTCAAGAAATGAAATTGAAGATGCCATCAAAAGCCTTCCAACCAAGAAAAGCCCAGGACCAGATGGACTCTCAGCCGAGTTCTACAAGACCTTCAAAGAAGAACAAACACCAATCCTCCTCAAAGTATTCCATGAAACAGAAAAGGAGGGAGCACTTCCAAACTCATTCTAGGAGGCCAGTATCATCTGCTACCACAACCAAAGACACATCAAGGAAAGAAACTTAAGACCAATCAATATCCCTGATGAACACAGAGGCAAAAATTCTTAATAAAAAGACAGTGCACCGTGATCAAGTGGTTCATCCCAGGGAGGCAAGGTTGGCTCGACATAAGAAATCAATAAACATAATTCACCACATCAATATATTTAAAGATTTTATATATATATATATATATGTGTGTGTGTGTGTGTGTATGTATATTCTCAATAGATGCATAAAAAGCATTTGAGAAAATACAGCATCCATTCACGTTCAAAACACTAGAAAAACTAGGGATAATAGGAACATACCTCAAATTGTAAAAGCTGTATACGCTAAACCCAAGGCCAGCATCATTCTAAATGGGGAAAATTTGAAAGCATTCCCTCTAAAAACTGGAACAAGACAGGGATTTTTTTTTTTTTTTTTTCACCACTTCTACTCAACATAGTCCTGGAAACTCTAGCCAGAGTAATTAGATAGAAGAAAGAAATTAAAGGAATACAAATAGGAAAAGAATTCAAACTATCCCTATTTGCTGATGACATGATTCTATATTTAGAAAACTCAAAAAAACTTCACCAGAAAACTTCTAGAACGAATCCATCAAAGTAGCAGGATATAAAATTGACACCCATGAATCAATTGTGTCCCTATACATCAGTGACAAATCAACTGAAAGAGAGATTTAGGAAAACTATCCCATTCACAATAGCCTCAAAGAAAATAAAATATCTGGGAATCAATCTAACAAGAGGTGAAAGACCTCTACACTGAAAACTACAGAACACTAAAAAAAGACATTGAAGAAGATCTTAGGAGGTGAAAAGATCTCCCATGTTCTTGGATAGGCAGAATTGACACTGTCAAATGGTCATGATACCGAAAGCGCTATACAGATTAACGCAATGCTTATTAAGGTCCTGATGATGTTCTTCATAGAAATAGAAAAAGCAGTCACAAAATTAATTCGGAAAAATAAGAGGTTTAAAATAGCCAAGGCAATCCTTAGCAAGAAGAGTGAAGTAAGGGCATCGCAATACCAGACCTTAAACCATGCTACTGAGCAACAGTAAGAAAAACGGCACCAAAACAGACACAAAGACCAATGGTGAGAAGAGAAGACAGAGGCACACCCACATAGATACGGTCACCACATCCTAGACAAAGTGCCATGAACATATGTTGGGGGCTTTGGCTGTGGCTCAGAGGAAGAGCGCTCGCCTAGCACGCGTGAGGCACTGGGTTCAATCCTCAGCACCACATAAAAATCAATAAAATAAATGTATAAAAAGTACAATAACATTGTTTAAAATATATATATATATATATGTTGGAGAAAAGATAAGCCTCTTCAACAAATGGTGCTGGGAGAACTGGAAATCCCTATGTAGCAAAATGAAATTAGACTCCTCTATCTCACCCTGCACAAAACTCAACTCAAAGTGGATCAAGGACCTTGGCATCACATCAGACATTCTGCGCCTACCAGAAGAAAAAGTAGGCCCAAATCTCCATCATGTCAGCTTAGGAACCAAATTCCTCAGTGAGACCCCTAAAGGGCAAGAAGTACAATCAAGAATCAATAAATGAGGCTGGGGTTATAGCTCAGTTGGCAGAGCGCTTGCCTGGCACGTGTGAGGCACTGAGTTCGATCCACAACACCACATAAAAATTAAATAAAGGTATTGTGTCCATCTACTATAAAAATATTTCTTTAAAAAAGGAATAAATGGGATGGCATAAAACTAAAAAGCTTCTTCACAGCAAAGAAAACAATCAAGAACAGGAAGAGACAGTCTACAGAATGGGAGACAATCTTTGCCACCTGGATCTCAGATAGAACATTAATCTCTAGGATATATAAAGAACTCAAAAAACTTAACACCAGAAAATAAAAAACAAATACCCCAACCGATAAATGGGCAAAGGAACTAAACAGGCACTTCACAGAAGAAATTCGATTGGTCAACAAATATATGAAAAAAATGTTCAACATGTCTAGGAATTAGAGAAATGACAATTAAAACTACAGAGATTCCATCTCATCTCAGTCAGAACAGCGATTATCAAGAACACAAGTAACAGTAAATGTTGGCAAGTGTGGGGGAAAGGCACACTGATACACTGCTTGGTGGGATGGCAAACTGGAAAGCTGTATGGAGATTCCTCAGAAAACCTGGAATGGATCACCTTTTGACTCAGCTACCCCTCTCCTTGGCTTATACCCAAAGGATTTAAATCAGCATATTATAGTCATGCAGCCAAACGAATGCTTATAGCAGCTCAATTCACAATAGCTAAGCTACGGAACCAACCTAGGTGCCCTTCAACAGATGAATGGGTAAAAAACCCCCACATAATGGAATACTACTCAGCCATAAGGAAGAATGAACTTATGGCATTTGCCAGTAAACGGGTGGAACTAGAGACATCATGCTAAGTGAAATAAGCCAATCCCCCAAAACCCCAAAGGACTAATGTCTTCTCTGATATGCGGATGCTAACTCACAGTAAGTGGTGGTGGGGCAGGGATAGAAGTTCACTGAACCGGACGAAGGGGAATGAAGGGCAGGGGCTGGGACCAGGAAAGGCAGCAGAATGAATCCAACATCACTTTTCTATGTTCTTGCATGAACTCACGACCAGTGAAACTCCACATCACGCACCACACACGAATGGGAAGTCTCACTCCACGTATATATCCATGTCAAAACATACCCTACTGTCATGTGCAACTGGAAAGAACTAAAAAAAAGGCTCTGTGGTAGCGTTGTTGGTAACAGGGAAACCTGAAGCCTGGGCCAGCAGCTCAGCCCAGCAGCACTGGAGGCGTGAAAGTGACCATGTGGGTCCACCTCAGAGACAGGACTTCAGGGAAGCCCGTGGCTGGAAGGTGATGCACACAGGATCCATTTTCATGAAGCTCAGCCAGGCAATCTGTGGGAACTCAGCAGGAGCAAACTACAAAGAAAACTGGGGGAGAATGGCCGACTCGGACTTCAGGCCACAGGTCTCCGAGGCAGGGGCACAGGAGTCAGTAGTGAGGGTCGGCAAGGCTGTGGTCTGGAGCCGGGGTGGGCTCTTGCCAGAGCCTCTCTGGTACTGCTGCCCGCCCTGGCCAGGCCCGGCTTGTTTCTCATTCCCAGAGCTATGGTGGCCAGCAGAGGGCGCTGGCAGCGAGAAGGGAGGGACAGGAGCAAAGTGGGCACCCTGTATGTCCACTGCCCTCACTCCTGTCTGAAGGGGGTCTTCCCAGCAACAGCAGCAGACCTGCCCAGTGCCAAGGCCGGTCCCATAGGTTCTCACCCACAGAACCCTGGCCCTGGGAAGGACACTGGACAACCATGGGATGATCCCCAAAGAAGGCCACTCCCCTGTGTTCCCAGTGGGCATGGTGGGAGCAAGTGTCCGAGGAGAAGCAGGGTGGGACTCACATGGATCCCGGGCTTGCTCCAGTGGCTCTCTGCTCGGCACCTAGGAGATGGGGCTGGAGGGCGTGAGATGGGGCTGGAGGGCGTGGGATGGGGAGCACCAACTCAGCCACCCAAGAGCAAGGCCACTAGTCAGGGGCCCAGGCATCTGACTCTAAAACGCAGACTGGTCCCCTGCTGCTAAGAGCCAAGTATATGATGCATGGCATTTTTGGTCGAAAGGCGCCAGCTAGCCATTGAGATGATATGATTATGTTAAGATTTGCATTCATATGGATATTGGACTCCTGCTGTTCACCTAGGCCGGCTACAGGACTCCTGGAGAGTTCCCATTGGTTGGGGAAGTACAGTAGGAGGGAGTTCAGGGGGAGGAGCGCTCTCTGCGGTCCGGGAGGAGGCCGCGTGGGTGGATCGAAAATCTTCCCGGGCGCGTACCGCGCGTACCGGACATTGGCGGCAGTTTCAAAAAATAAAGTTTGTTCCTGCTTGAGTGGCTCGTGATTTTGTGCCCAGCCAGACTGCGGCACCCTGCAGAGCATCTTACGCACAGAGTTGGCAGGGACCCCGGAAGTGCTCACCTCCGCGCGGCTGTTGATCTCCTCTTCAGAGAGGCCGGCGAGCACGGCCTGGTCAAGTGGCCCTGTGGCCACCTCCACTGTGTGTTGGATTCGCTCAAGCATCTGCCTCTTGCCAGGATCTGTGGTCTCACTTAACTTTACTGAAAATGGCTACAGAAAAAGGGGCATATCAACCTTGGTGGATACCACACTGAAACCTGTGCTCACAGAGCTGACTCAAGGCAGAGAAGACCAGTGTTTCTCACTGGCCCAAGGTGATCGAGAAATCTGCACCCTAGCTCTTCCCCAAGCAGTGGGCCCAGAGGCCTGTGTCCTCAGCTGAGGCAGTCCTGCGCTGGCCCTCCTCACACAGGACTGGGTGGGACCCTTCACTGCTCTGTGTCTCGGTGGCCACCTGTAAAATGGGGCTGAGAGCAATACTTCTAGGCTGCTGGGGGCTAAACGAGAGTATATGCAGAGCCCTGAGAAGCAGCAGCCATTTCCATCTCAAAGGCCACTGCGGCCCAGCAGGCCCCAGTCCTGTTAGCCTGACAGCGAGACCCCAATTCATGCCTTCATTTCCTTTCAGAGATAAAATGCCACAGACATGCCAGTAATATCACTCTAATTACTAGGGATTCCTGGGAGTTATTAAAGCAAATAAAATGACTTTCTCTTACATATCTTGTCATATTATGTAATACAATACAGAACTGCGTTTACAATATGCTTATTCAGAATTAGATTATCAAGTTGGAGAAAACGCATTTCAATCGTTCTGAAGATTCGCAGTATCGTGGATACAACAGATCTCAAGCCAGCACAACTTCTGCACTTGGGCAGAGGCAGCAGACTGGTCACGACCTCAGCTTTGTAACTGGACAGTAATGCTGCTGGGTCTTCTCAGGAGCAAGTGTGGTCAGTGGCACTGTGATGCCTCAGGTTCTCCTGGAAGCAGAAGGAAGGCCACCTACCCTGCACTCCGTCCCCATGCATCTGTCCTGCTCACTTTCCCGTAGGCCAGAAGCCACACGTGCCGAGACTCTAGTACCCCTGACAAAATGGCTTATGCACTGCTCTGTGGAGACAGACTGCACTTTGGGGACAATGACCTACAGAGGGCCCTAGTGCCATAAGCAGGAGGCAGGGCAACATCTAGAGCAGAAGAGGGCTCACCTTCAGAGCAGCACGAATATCCTCCAGGAGCTGGGTGGCTGGTGGTTTCTGCTCCCGATACTGTGCAAACAAGTGATTCTGCCGGGCCCTCCTGATGATCTGCAGCGGGAGACAGGGTGTGCTCAGAGCCCACTCCCATCCGTGCAGCAGGCTGCCCCCTCACTGAGCAGGTGTAAATGGTGGGTAAGCACCCTGGGACCCCAACACCACCCTCAATCTGCTACTTGCTGAGCGGAAGAGGTGAACTTCCTGATGCCTGAGAAACAGGTGCTGGGTCCCACTTCCTCCAGAGCCAGATACAGAGCAGGATCCCTTCTCAGAGCACCAGGGACACAAACTCAACCTGGCCCCTGAACATGCTGGGTTCTAGTGGCATCTACACCTACGTAAGTGTCCACACATCTGCATAAGCTAGTACCAAACCATTGAGGGGACTCAAGTAGGTGCATTTAGTCACGCCTAAGCTAGCTCAAACCTACACCATGCTACTTACGGATCAGAGTCCTGTGAGTATGAGTGATCTGGAACACTCCCCTACCTTGTCATCAATGTCTGTGATGTTCATGCAGTAGAAGACGTCGTACTGAAAGTAATCCTTTAACACTCTTCTCAGGATGTCGAAAGAGATGTAGGACCTGAACAGTGAACACACAAGCTTCCATCAGCACATGCTGTATGTTAGCCGGGCACTACAGGAGCATGCACAGGCTAAGCGGCCCTGAACTGATAATCCAAAATGCCCCCAAACCCAAAGTCCTCGTGATGTGCGCCTAATGATGCCATGAAGGAAAAGCCCACACCATTAAACTTTGCTTCACGCACAAAACTGCAAAAACTATTACCTTCAAGTTATATGTATAAGGTGTACATGAAACAAACAAATGTCTTGCTTCGACTTGGGTCCTATCCCCAAGATAGCTCACGACATACACGCAAATACTCCAAAATCCGAAATAAAACATGCTTCTGGCTCCAAGCACCAGAAAGGGAAATTTGACCTGTGTAAGTAAAAGGATTCTGTGGCCTCTACCCTAACAGCCACGAACTCTCCTCAAGCCACACCTGTGGACAGACAGGTCAGGGTCTCAGGCAACTTGGCCTCAGGTCTGAGAGCCATGGAAACTCTGCACAGGGGACCTGCAGAGCTGGAGGGATAAGGAAAGCATGATGGGGGTGTTGGAGTGGAGTCCAGGACAGCAACCAGGCTGGGGACACTGGCCTCTGGGTCAGCCCTAACCTTCCTGCAGCAAGGTGGATCACCAGCGGCACTGGACCTTACCTGGCATGCCCCATGTGCGATGCATCATAGACAGTGGGCCCACAGCAGTACCAGGTCACTTTTTTCCCATCTTGAGGTATGAACACGTCCTTGTTAGAAGTGAAGGAGAGCCGTCACAAGAGATCCCAGAAGCTGCGCAGGAGCACCCAGAGTTCAACACGCATCCCCCCGCTGCCTTTGTTCTGCACAAGCACTATTTTATTGGATTAAAAAGGCTACAGTAGTCTGGTGGGAGCCGTAGAATCCACGGCAGCCCCGCTCACTGTCCACTGATGGAGACGGCTAGAGCCCCTTTCCCCTGGGGTCCTGTCCCGCTCTGGAGTGTGCATCCTTTGTGGGAGTGCTACTTGTGCAACAAAGGCAGCGAGCATCTGGGCCTGAGCAGGTGCTCGTAGCCCCCCACCTGCTCCAGGCACAGCCTCAGGGGTCTGGCTTCTGCTTTCTTCTTCAGAAAAGTCACTGAGGCCAAGAGCAGCAGCCTGGGCCCTAGAGCAAGCCTAGGGTCTTGTCTGGCCAGGGTCTGTCCCTCCCTGAACGCCTGGCTTGCAGGCCAGACCATCCCAACACCCCAAAAGCTTTTGGGGGACATCAGGACCAATGAGTTCCATAACAAGACTGTGGGCTGGGCTGCGCAGCCCCTGTCCCTGCCCGCTAAGCATGCTTGCTGATCAAAATCCCAACCTTTTTTGAACACCCCAACCACAGCCTGGGCAGCACTGCTGGGTCAGCTTTAGCCCTACCTTCTCCTCCAAGCCTCGGGCTCCCAGCACCTGGCAGGCAGTTTGCCCCCTTCCTGCTCTGCTCGAGCAACACCCGCTGCAACCCTGGGCTCTGAAGGCATACCAGCTCTGGCCTGGCTGTGAATGACCTCAAGCACTTGTGCCTACTCAGGGTAGCCCACACCCAGAAGCCAGTGGGCAGGCTTCCACAGTCACAGCTCTGCCCCCAGGTTACACCAGCCACAGCACAGGAAGTAACCAAAGAGGCTGAACTCTGGAGCCCTGCGTGGTGAACAGGAAAGTTTCCCTTTACTGCGACACAGGGATCCCAGCCACGTGCGCACGCGTGCGCGCGCACGCACACACACACACCACCTGACCCCTCTTTACCTTGTTCCGGGTGAGGCTGTTGTATAGACGGAGCTTACAGGGCTCAGTCCCAGCTGGAGGAGACCACTTAGGCTGCACTCGCCGGCCTTTACCTGGGTGGCAGAAGAGCAGACAGATCACACAGCAGCACCCAAAAACACAGGTCGCCCTACACCTCGAGACCTAATTTGGACCACAAAACTGTGATTTTCAATGAAACAACACTAAGCAATGCAAACCTTCTTGGGTTTGTTCCCATCCTGCATGAGTCTCAATGACAACAGAGCCCAGTGTGAGTCTAGAATGCCGCATGTCCTGCTGTTCACCACATAAGCTGCTGTCCACAGCCCATGGGTCAGCTGCCTGACCGTCCATGGGCTACACTGTTGCCACCTAGACTGTCCCCGTCTCCCAGGATCCCTCATCTGGGCAAAAGGAAAGTTGATGGATGCTACCTATCCTCAGCCTCTCCTGAGGCCATGACAGGTCAGGGGGAGAAGGGCCTCCAGCTCCTCTGCAGCTCTGTGCTTGAGCAGTGAGTGGTTAGTTGCCAGCATGCTCCAACCTCGGACACAGCCTGTGCCCCACCCCACCCCCAGGCTGGCCCTCGCTGGCCCTGCTGGTCCCCACAGTCCCTTTCTGCCAGGCAGTCAGTGTTCTCCTGCCTGCTCCTGCCACCATGTGGCACAGCCCACCCTGGTGTGTGCCCTGGGTCTGGGGCCCTTCCCCCTGAGGCAGATGGCTTCCTCGCTGTGTGGGCATGAGGACCTGAGGAGGTGCCCTGGGTAGCTGACCACTTTCTAACCACCCAGGGCTGGCTTGGCGCCTGCTCTGCAGCATCCGCCCCCTCCTCGGGAAGTCCCGCTTTCCTCCTCAGCCCTCCCAGAGCCGGGCTCTGTGGAGCTCTCCTGTGCCCACCTGTGCCCAGGCAGGACCTTGCTCCCGCTGGCCTCTGCTGAGCTGCAGAGAAGACCCTCAGGATGGAGGTCACAGTCTACCCTTCTAGGCTGCACTGGTGACTCATCCCCTGCCCCTCGGCCTCCTAGGTGAGTTTGTCTTGGGAAGGGGGTGCCTCTGCTCACAGGAAGAGCCTTCACAGGCCCCGCACAAGTGTCAAATGTTGGCATTTCCAGGTCCCCGCCCTTGCCAGGGCCACTCAGCTGAGATGGAGGACTGGTAACCAGCAGGCTGAGGGGCGGGAGGCGGCACACCATGGAGAGGTGGTGCGAGGCCACAGAGGACGGCGCTAAGCAGGAGGTCCTTGCCAGCTGACCCGCGACACTGTCACAGCTGGCCACAGATTCCTATCATGGGACGTCCCCGACCCTTAATCAAGCATCGAGGCTCACTGAGGTCAATGCATCAAATGCCCTGGAAGGAAAATCTCAGGTTTCAAGGACGTTTGGCAGAAACAAATTCAGACTTGCAGAAGGGAAAGACTGGGAGGCGTGACACTACAGCCTGTTTTTCACAACTCTCCCTTCGCCCAGGTCAGCGGGCTCCCATTCAGCGAGAGTCTTGGACTTCTGACCACTGCCCCACACCTGGTGGTCCTCATCAGCGTCCTCCCGAGGAAGCTGTCAGCCTCTGTCCGGGTTCTCTCTGTGACAGTGAACATGCTCCACTCACCCCAGACAGCACCAGTCCCACCTGGCCAGGCACTGTCTGGGGAACACTGCCCCAACCTGGCAGAAACCGCCTTGGAAATGGGACCCGGGGAGACTGAAGGGCAGGAAGCCTCCAGGAAGCACTATGCCCCGGGCAGGAGCTGGCACTGGCAGAAGGCCCGGCAAGGAGCCACCGAGAGAAACCATCCTGAGGTAGAGGGTTAGTCACCTCAGGGGGAGAGCCCAAAGCTGAACTTGCATCTTCCTAAGGAGGCCTCGCTGCCACTAGACCTGGGCCCTTCTTCAGTGAAGCCTAGGCGTGACCCCCAGGGGGCTGGGAGAGGTGGGGGCTGCATGAGAGAGCCCAGCTCCGAGGGAGGGCTCATCCAGCAAATTCTACACCCTGGGACCGGACTGGCCTCTGTGCTGGAGCCACAGAGAGGAGGCTGAGGAGGTGGGAAGTGGGCAGGACGGGCTGCAATGGAGACTTTCGGAGTCTGAGAGGACCCTCCAGCTGCTGAGGCCCTCAGCCCTGGGGAGAAGCTGGGGGAGGTGCCTCGAAAGCCAGATGTGGGCACGTTTAAAGCACGGAATGGCCCATAGGGGACTGGCTTATGAGTGTGCTGGGAGGGAAGGTGGGTGACAGGGAGCAGGGTCGGAAGGAGGGAGAACACCATCCAGGGCAGAACATCAGAAGAGTCCGGGATGGGCAGCTGCTCTGGTTCTCACAGCTGGTCTCCCAGGAGTCTGAGGCCTGCCCCAAACCACTGGACAGCAAGTGGCAGCCCTCAGTTCCAGCGCCACCTCTGCCTCCAGCCCTGGCTCACGGCATGCTCTGCACAAGGGTGGGCCGACCTAACGCACATCCTTCCTGGGCTCCAGAGAGCCTCACAGGCAGTCTCCGTCGACACAGAGGCAGGACAATCCTGTGAGCGCTGTCCACGGTCCACCCTCCACTCACCCAAGTCCCTCCTGGAGCAGCCTCACTGGGCAGGGTGCAGGTCTGCAGTGAGCCGCCTGCCCTCAGAAGGTCATAAGGCCTGGAGGAGCACAGCCCTCCTCTCCTCCAGCTGGCCAGGGTGTGCTGGCAAGGCCTGCCCTCCCGGGGGGCAGATCCTCCCGTCTCACCCCCTCCAGGCTATGCTTTAGAAGCTGGGGCAGAGCAGCGTAACCCGCCCGAGTTCTGTGGAAGGGAACCTGATGCACCATGCCGGGCACACCTGCTGTAGCGACCCACACAGTAATTCCTCCCTCCCTGTGACAGGAGGGTGTTAGCAGCAGGATTATGCAGAAAACCAAAGCAAACCCCTACCCTTGGTGACTTGGCACTCCTCGGCCCCATGTGAAACTGGGACCTAGCAGAGGCCCAGAGGCATGTTCCCAATCCCCCATCCCAAGTCTGGAAACCCCCAGAGCTGCCAGTGGGGCCACGGAAGGTAGCACTCAGCCTGCCCTACAGGAAGGAGGGTGCACGCACAAAGCCCCGGGGAAGCCAGGCGCTCAGGGCCTCAAGGCAGCTATGGAAGGGGGCACCTCGGCTTCCCAGAGAGCCCCAAGCCACCCAGGAACCTGAGCCCCGAGACTCTCGGCAGCGTTTCTCCCAAGATAACTGCAGTGGCACCGGGGGGGGGGGGGGGGGGGGGGTGCAAGCGGCACTGAAAGGATGCAGCTGAAGCCATGCAGCTGAGTTCATCTCAAAATGCTCTCTGAGGCCTGAACACTTCAGTGCCACTTCATCTAGCTTTAGTGTTTAATGGCACCACACCAGGGGAGGAACACACTGCGGTCTTAGGGAAATAAAGAAAAACAAGTTAAGCCAGAGGCCGACTCAGCTCCCCAGGACTGGGGCCCACAGCCCAGCATGCTGGACACCCCCAGGGGGCCGCTGGTCACTGCAGCTGTGCCAGCAACAGGAATGTCCTGATCTTGAGGAACCAACTCCACAGGGTGGCTTCTATGCTACCCACTGAGCACGGCACCTGCCCTGCCAGACCTCAAGCTCAGGACCCTGGGCGAGGCTCCCACAGTCCACTGTCCCATGGCACCACATGCCACCACATGCCACCACACGCCATGGGGGGTGGAGAACACCCTGACCTCGGAGCACAGACCCTAGCGGCAGGGGCAGCAGCTGGTACTCACTTGCTTGGGGCCCGCAGGCCTCACCCTTGTCACAAGGGCGACCCAGGAGCGCTTCTATGTGCCTGAACCACCGAGCCACGTGGAGGAGCCTCGAGTCGGCGGGCAGGGCCGAGAGCTGCCTGAACACGTCCACATCTGCCTGAGAGAGTGTGTACCCCTGGACATAGCTACGCGTGCTGAGGTGCTCGTCCAGGGCCCGCACCCTGGCTGCCTCGTCACTAATGCTCAGAATGGACCTGTAGTCGGCAGCTGCAAAGACAGAGGGCAAAGGACATCAGGCAGAGGACATCTGACGCCAGGCAGGCAGGTAGAGGGCATGCAATATGAGGCAGTGGACACAGGACATCTAGCAGGCTGGCAGAGGCACATGACACGAAGCAGAGAACATGTGACGTCAGACAGGTGGGAGAGGGTACACAACATGAGGCAGAGCGCTGATGACATGAGGCAGAGGACACAGGGCATCAAGCAGGAGAAGACTGCTCCGAGCTGCTGGGCAGGAGTCAAAAGAGACCCACGTGTCCAAACCCTTTCCTGGATGTCAACCATCCACAGGCGGCAGAGGTGCAGGGGCAGCATGCGGGGCAAGGCGGTGGGGGAGGGAGCTGCTTCCCTGCTGAGGGGACAGCAGCGTGGTGCGCTGACCGCCCTGGGCTGTGCACTTCAAGACAGTTCACTGCTACGGGCTTTCACCTCTATTTATTTATTTTTAAGTTTATTTTATTTTTGGTGCTGGGATTGATCCCAGGTGCTCCACCACCAAGCCACATCCCCAGCCCTTTCTAATGTTTTACATTTCAGACGGGGTTTCACTAAGTTGCTGCGATTAGACTCAAACTTGCAATCCTCCTGCCTCAAGTCCGGAGTTGGTGGGATTACCTGGTGTGCCACTGTGCCCATCTCACCTCAAATTTTAAAACTCACGACAGAAAAGGAAAGAAAGAAAGAAAAAAAAAAGCCCAGAGCCCTTTCTCACAGCAGGGCCTCTCCCTGCAGACAGTGGGGATGTGTGTGGGGGACAAGGCATGGGTGAGAACCCTGAGCTCCCGGCACATGCTGCCATCACCCACACCCCTGTACCAAGATGACCAGAGACATCATGGCTTCCAGCACCCACACCCCCAGGATGACCCCAGCCTACCTGAGAATGCTTGGGCTGCCAGAAGGTACACTTCTAGCATGGTGGCCCAGCCATGCTGGCCCTTCCCTAGAGCACTGACTTAAAAGACTGCACCTGCTGCCACTCAGGAGTATCTCCAAGGACCAAGCACTATGCCTGCAGGAACCCCCAGGAGGGCACCGTGGCCAGCTCACCCAGCAACTTGGGCCTGCACACTGGCCAGCCCCCTGTCATTTTTCACTTGCACCACTTAAGCCGCCTGTGGGAGACCAACCTTACATGTGACTGAGTCACACTCCCCAGCTGGGTGCTGAGGCACTCAGTCAAAAAATGTGGCAGAACTTTTCCTACCCTTCTTGGGTTCGGTGTCTCGGGCATGCGTGTGTCTTTCTACAGCCCCATGGGTGGAGCTATGCTCACCTGTTCCTTTGTAATCTAACCCCTTGCCCTGTTCAGGATAGAATCTTCCACGGAAATGCCTTGTATGTGTCCCCTTCTCTTACTGTGCCCTTGGGTGTGGCCTACCCAGGTGTCAGTCAACCTGCTGACAGTGGACATCATGAAGATAGACTCAGCCCCCTGAAACCTGACCCCTTGCCTCATTTGAATAGCTTCTCCTCAATAAAAGGGGTCAGCGCGTGCTCTCGCTCTCTCTCTTTCTGCAGACCATTAAGGTCAGAGGAGCCGTCACAGCGACCCCAAAGAGAAAAGGTATTTGTGTCTCTTGTGTGGTTATTTCGTGCAGCCCAGTTAGCCCAGTTCAACTGGAGTGACCCCTGAGCCTTTTAGTCACAAGAACAGAAACCCAGCAGCCGCCTTCCCTCCACCCTGTCCTCCTTGCTGCAAGCCTCTGCTAAATAAAAACAGAGCTCTCAGCTGTTTCCTAGTCACCGAGGAACTGTAGCAAAAGTCTGGGTACATCAACCTTTGACATCAGGGCCTGGGGATGAGGAGCTGCCCCAAACCCAGGCTCCCTAAGCAGAGGCAGAGAAGGAAAGTGGCGCCAGCCAGGCCCCTAGGCCAGAAAACTGAGCCTGTGCCAGTCCCTGAGGTGAGCCACACCAAGCCCAGCTCCTCCTGGTCATCTCATTTGCCAAGGGCTACAGTGGGAAGAAGACTAGGCTCATTCTCTTCACACAGACACCTTGTACCTGGCAAAGAGCTCAGGTGCTGAGCACATGCCCAATCACCTCTCCCCATGCTGCCCAGCTGCCTAGCCTGTGAGGTCACCTGGGTCAGTGCACGATGCACAGCAGAGCAGCCATGGGGAGGGGAGATAACCCACAAGCAACACTGCACCCCTTGAACTTGTCCCTCCTTGCTCCTCCACCTCGTGCTTGCTGTGCAACCCAGAATCAAACCATGGTCCTGAAAAACAGCACGTGTGCGAGGACACTGCGGGGGCACAGGCCTCTCTCCACATGTTCTGCCATGGAAGCCCTTCCCCCAATTCCTACAAATGGAACTTTCTAGAACACGAAGGTACCAGTGAGGATGGGCTGAAATGAAGCGCAGAGCTGTGGTGGCAGAAACCACCCGACAACTGGGCTGCATCCTCCTTCCAGGTCCTTCCACAGCCAGTGCCCAGCCCCCAAGGCTGCAGCAGGGGTCCCAGAGCCCCAGCTCCTCCTCTGCAGGGACGGTGTGGGCACCAGGTGGAAAGCCCCCTTGAACTCTCCGTCTGGATGCTGTACTCACAAGGCTTCCCAGAAACACGCCTGCTGGTGCCAGGGCCAGTTCTGCAGGTGCCGACCCTCCCTGCTTTCCTCCAGTGCGCAGAGCCACACCCACGGCCCCTGCTCCCTGCAGCAGATGCCTAGGGTTAGGTGCTCTCTTCAACCACAGAGCTGCAGCCCTGGGCAGACTGTCCTTCGGACAGCCACGTGCAGCCCACCTTCAACTGTGCTGAGACCCCAGGCCCTCACCTCGGCTCCACCTCTCACCTCAACTCCCCAGTGGCAGACACCAGCCCCACAGCACAGCCCAGCCCTTCCCTGCTGAGAAGCAGGGGCCACATCACCACCTGCTCTAAGCCTCACAATGGCCTCCCTCTGGTCATATGGACCCTAACTGCTGCACTTAGGGGGACACACACCCCCAGATGCCCCCAAGCTCCTCGCTTTCCTTGGAGCTTGGCTGGGGTCAGCCTCTCCTCTGGCTGAGGACTCCCTGCTCCAAATGCCCCTGCCCGAGGCCTGGCCCAGCTGCTCTCCCTCCTCCAGCAGGTACCTCTTAGGATCCAGACACGGGCTTTGGGGAGCAGCCCCCTTGCTCCAGGCCCTGGGCAATAACACTGGAATTCTGCGTACAGTGAAGGAACTGCCTTCCGGGGTGGGGCCTGCCAGGCAGGCATCCCTTTCCCCAGCTACACGGGTCCCTGCTGGGGCAGTCCTGAGGACGGCCAGGCCAGGGCCTAGATGAAGAGGAGACTGGAGAACCTGGGCCTGGGGCTGGGGCTGGGCTCAGCTCGCCCAGCGCGTGCCAGGCCTTAGTCTGATCCTCAGCACCACATAAAAACATGAATAAGTAAAAGAGAGGTATTGTGTCCAACTACAGCTAAAAGATAGATATTTTTAAAAAATCCTGGCACGGAGCAACTTCCTTCCAGAAACTTCTAGTTCACCCGGATCTTTCCCCGACAGCCCAGCGGCCTGTTAAGTGGCACCACAAGGGGACAAATAATGAGGATGGTGGGAACGCGAGATTAAGAAAATAATTCTATAAAATGAGCCCACTGTACTGACCCCCGCGTGCTTTCTTAGCCAAGAAGATGTCTATCTGCAGCCCCACCTGCCTGAGGGACAGGAAATGTCACCATCCTCAACAAACTGAGGCAGGGGGCAGAAGGCCTGGCAGTCAGTGTAGGTCCTGAATGCTGGGGGTTGAGAGGTGAGGGCTGGTCATCCAGGGAAGACAAGGGGTGGCTAACAGCTGACCTCCAGGACCTCACTCCCGCCCTGTTCCTGCTCCTTCCTGCCCTTAGGCAGGTACAGGGAGAAGAAAGAGAAGGAGGGGGTTCTGAGGTCCACAAAGAGCAATATGCACCCCACCCCACCCCCGCAGCACAGAGGTCTGCCACCTCTGTCCCTCTCTTAAATAAAACTTGCTTTCTATGCTTGCCTCCGCATTCTCAGGTGCTTAATTGCCAACCCAAGGAACAAGGAGTATGGGCACCAGCAGTGGTCCTGCTTATGACAGAGATGCAGGTCACTAGTGACACATCAGGGAGCCTGCCTGAGCTCTGTCCCCAGGGCTCCAGCGTCCACTGGAAACTACTCCCCTGGATCTGACCCTTCACTCAGGGCTAGTGTGAGACACAGAGATGGGCTCAGCCATGGTGACAGTGAGCTGAGCCGGAGGGTCCCTGGGGCATCCCGGAGCAACAGCACACAGGTGGCTTTGGGTCCTGCCCACCTCCCCACAGCAGGCACATGCAGGCCCTTCTCACACTCCATGCTCCTGGGGACAGCGGCGACTACAAGGACTCCCCCAAACAGGGACAGCAGCACTCTCTAACAAGCAGAGTGACGAGAGACTCGGTTGCCTTCTCCCTGTTCTTCAGATTGTCTACACTGATCCATGAGCACATGGCACTTTTATGGGAAAAACCTGCACCGTGTCCCAGTGACTGGAACAGCCTTAGAGCACTAAGGAAGATGCTGCCGGAGGCTCTGGGAGGCCCTGGAGACGGTCGCCTCGGGGCAGGCACCTGCCTTCCTCCGGTGTAAACCACCCTACCAGCAGCCACCTCGTAAAGCTATGGAGCAGTAAGTGAAATTACACTTTTAAAATGTTGTAAAACTGCCTGGCACACGGCCAGCACCCAGCTTGCCATCATTATCATAATCGCTCCTGCATTACGATGATGATCATCATCATGGCTCATGGCCATGATGGGCTCATACCCTCAGAGAGCTCCTAGAGGCACTTCCGGGATCACACCTCCTTCCTAAATGCACCCTGTGGAGCAGCCCAGACAACATGGGAATTAGGCCAGTCCCTACTGAGAGAGAGTCCCCTCAGGCTGGCAAGGCAGCCAGGGACGCTTCCACCAGGCTGTTTGGCTAATTATGGAAGCTGCATTTGGGTGTGGAGGAAACAGAATAGGCCAGCTTTCACAGGGGGTGGGCCTGAGTCAGACCCTCATCTGATGCCAGGTGAGACGGGAACCCAGGGAGCAGGCAGAACTCCCCCACCTGGCACCCACACACCTCTGCCCAAATTCCTGCTCTGTCTCCAGAGGAGGGCTGTCCACCACCAGGCAACAAACACATCAAAGGACAGAGGATCTGAGGGTGGGGATGTCCCAAAGGTGGACGGTGACTATCACAGTCTACACTACTGGAGTCCTTAGAGAGTACTTACTAAGCCACATGAATTGAAACACTGGCACAGGGACTGAGCCAAAATCACATCACAAAACCCACATTCCTCACATGCAAAGGGCCACCCTCCCTCTCGCTCTTCCCATCCACCCTTAGGCTTGCGCTCTCTGACTTCTGCTCCTGCCGCCGGTCCCTGGAGGCTCACCCTGCCCTTCAAACCAAGGCCCATCCCCTGCAGCATCAGCAGGAGCTGGGACTACTTAGAAGGAAGCCACATACTTGGGCCCGCCTGAGACCTGCCAGTTGGAACCTCTGGGGGTGGGCCCAGCAAGTAGCGCTTAAACAAGCTCCCACAGCACCCTGTGCTTGCCCCAGTGCGGTAGGAACCTGGAGAGGCAGATGGGTGGCCCACTAAATGCAGAACCTGTCCACAGGTCTGTGCTCAGCACACCTCCTGGAGGTCAGCCTCGACCGCCAGGGTCTGCACCTTCCCGAGCTCAGCCCTCCACCTGCCAACCCCGCTGGAGCTGAACTCTTCACCCTGTAGGTATACCTCCCACACCCACCGCAGATGGCTCCCTTTCTGTAGATGCTCCCCTCAACCTCCAGGGCGCCTCCCTCAGCTGCTCTCTTCAGCCCCCACATATTTCCCATGGGGCTTCCCCACCCCACCAGCAGCTCTCAAAAAGGGGACTGGAAAACACTAACCTTTGCGAATCCTGGGGAGGAGCGGTACATGTCCCCTGCTCCCACCGCCTCGGAGACAATGCAGCCCACTCCAAATCCAGAGCCATATCCCACACCAAGGGCTCCCACCTCGCACCTGAATGGTCACTCGTAACAGGGTGACTCCCAGACATCATCTCTCCCCAGGGAATTCACTACCACCTTCTTCACACACTGAGACAAGCAGGGATGACCACAGGGAGGTACCACACAGGTGCTGGAAAGGCTAGGTATTCACCATGAGTGCCCTTCCTCCTAAGATCCTATATACTTGGGATCATGGAATCCTAAGGTTATTGATTAGCAAATATTTATGGCCTATAAATAGGTACATTTCACTCTGCTTTGGGAAGCAGAGAAGCACGAGAGCTCTGTTTTGCCCACCTTACACTCAGACCTGGAGCCTCTGGTTACTCCAAACAGCAGGCACCAAGGCAGCCCAGCACATCCCGCTGCCCTCAGCCTGCCCAGGAGAGCCTGGTTCTGCCTCTGGCTAGCTAAGACACTGGGACCTCTCTGGACCTTGACCTCTCTGGACCTCAGGGTTCCCATCTGCACAGGAAAATACAACAGTACCTACTGCAAAGAGCTGCTCTGACGTCACAAGGGAGGACAGACAGGTGTTCAGGACAGCGCCAGTACTGACGCATGCTGGGAAGTACTGGTTGGGTTGATTGCGAAGACCCTTTTAGTTAGATTTTGTAACCAAAGCGGTGACCTGAGTCGGCAGGAAAAGGCCCTGAAATGGGCTGCATCCACCTCAGAGGCCCTGGATGGGCCGCTGTTGTAGGCCCTGCACAGAGCTGGCCTGCACGGGGGCTGCAGGAGAGGCTGGACCCACCAATCAAGAGGGAGCAGCACATGTGCTCAGTCAACTTAGGGAAGACAGTCCCGAAACGAGGAGCTCCCTGAACAGTCTGGGAAGATGGTCACTTTCAAAGAACCAATCTGGGGAATAAAAAAACAATCCAAAATGGGAAACACACAACCTTGAGAATGTCTCTGTTTGAGACATGAGGTCTTCATGACTTCATTTTATTTCCTCTTTCTGAGGCTCAGCCCACGGAAGGGTCTGTGTGTGGAGTGGGGCGGGCAGTGCACCAGCCATGCTATGGCCCTACGCTTTAGGCTGAGGAAGCCCACCTGCTGTCAGACATCTGGGGTTCATCCCAACTGACAGAGCCATCTCCAGAAATAAGCCAAATCCCTCAAGGTCTGCAAGCCTAAAGTTCTGGAACAACTAAAAAATAAACAAATAAGAAACAAACCCAAACACCTCTGTTATGGTTTGAATGTGAGGTGCCCCCAAAAAGCTCATGTGTGAGACAACGCAAGAAGCTGTAGGGGAGAAATGATGGCGTTATAAGTTTTAACTGGTTAATTAATCCCCTGATGGGATTAACTGAGTAGAGGCTAGAAGTAGGCAGGGTGTGGCTAGAGGTGGAGGGTCATTGGGAACGCACCTTTTGGGTATATGTTTTATATCTGGAGTCTCTGCTTCTTGATCATCATGTGAGCTGCTTCCCTCTGCCACACTCTCCTGCACCAAGGTTCTGCCTCACCTGGAGCCCTAAGGAGTGGAGTCAGCTCTCTGTGGACTGAGACCTCTGAAACCATGAGCCCTCAATAAACTATTCCTCCTCTATAATTATGCTGGTCAGGCCTTTCAGTTACAGTAGTGAAAAAACTGACTAAAATACTCTCATTCTACCACTTAGTTTCACAAATGAAACACACACACACTTTTATTTAAAAACTAAAAACTAAAGACTTGGGTTCCACATATTACATGGCATGTCGTAAGACCTTTATATCTCTGAGCTCACTACCCACGGCTCTCTCCCAGATGGACACCATCACTTTGTGCTGTTGTGAGGAGGCACAGAGCTGGGACCCCAGCCCTGCCAGGTGGGCTCTAGGGATGAGCACTTAGCCTCACTGCTGTTCTACAGGAGTCTGGGTGGACCTCCAAAGGCTACTGACTCCGGGGCGTTTGGAGGTGGTGCTGGAATCCAGGCACGCCAGCTGAGTGGAATGCTGCATAGCTCTGCCACCAGGCACAGGACAGGCAGCCCTGTCATCTGGGTGCGCCATTGGGTGTGAAACATGGGTTTCCTAGGTGTTCAGGTCCACCTGTCTAGAACCAGTGGAGGAATAAGGAATAAGGGATATCACAGAATGGACTCTCAGGAATAAGGGATACCACAGGATGCCACAGAAATTTTGGTATGTCCTACACTGAGTCAGGGAGGGGAGATGTCAGAACTCACACCTACTTTTTGCCAGCAGAAAGAATAAAACCTATGCCAAGAATGTTTCCCTTGGAAAGTCTGCTCCGGACTGTAAGGATCTGGGGCCACAGTCTCTATTCTTTCCAGCACCTAAATCTTACAGAAGGAACAGTGAGAAAAGACCTACTGCTTGTCAGAGATCTGACTGCCAAGGCTCTGGTCTGGTCCTGCTGATGTGACTGACCCAGGGAGCTGACAGAGTCCCCCCACCCCAGCCTCCTAGGTTGGCAATAAAGTGGGCAGTAATGCTCTGATGAGGCAGATCCCAATTGTGACTGCTGGCTCAACCCAAGATGAAAGACTTGGTAAACCCCAAGCTGTTTTATGGTGTGTACATGTAGCTCTGGCTTCCTCTGCCCCACTTCCCTGAGCACCAACCTCAGGTGCCCTTCCACCCACCCGGCTGGGCAGAAAACCAAAACAATCCTTGAGCCTTTGCCTGCCCCCAGATTCTAAATGGGGTAGGAGGAGATGAGGTCTGGTTCAGGCACCAGCTAGAAACAGACTGTCTGACTCTAGGCCACCTCCCCAGTTGGGTGTGCAAGGAGACTTCCCCCAACCCAACTAGAAAACTGAGACTGGGGACAGAGTGGCTTCACTAGCTGGGGTGGGTGGCTGCCAGGCTGGTGCTCCCACCTGAAAAAAATCCTGTGGACCACTCCTCAAAACTCAGACCCCCACTGCCAATCCCAGGGACCCAGTGCCCTCAGAACCAGGGACTGGCCACTGCTCCCTCAGGACTACTGCTCACCCCTGGAACCCACTGCCTGCCCTGGAGACCCCCATTGCTCTTACGGCCTGGTCACTGCCTACCTTGAAGACCCTCGGCCCACTCCAGGCCCCATTGCCCTCAGAGCCCAGGTTGGACACTGCCCACTCCATACCCCACCACAGCCCGGCTGAATGCTGCCCGCCCCCCCCCCCCCCGGTTCCCTCCTCTCAGAGACCTGATGCGCGTTGTCCACCCAGACTCCCACCACCTTCAGAGTCGCGGCCGGACGCTGCCCACCGCAAGCCCCTGACCTCACCGCCCTCAGAGCCCCGCTGGACGCGGCCCGCCCCGGACCCGACCGCTCTCAGAACCCTGCTGGATGCTATCTGCCCCGGAGGCCCCCTGCTCTGAGCCCCCGCTGGACACTGCGCGCCACGGACCCCCTGCCTTCAGAGCCCCGCTGGACGCTGGCGCACAGGCAGTCAGTCCCCTCCGCGCGGGCCGCGCCACTCACCCTGCTCCCCGGAGGAACCTGCCATCGCTGGGAATCCCGGACCCGTGGCCGCAGCGACTGACGCTTCCCAGAATCTGATGCAACCGCCTCCCCGGAAGTCCCGCCCCCGACTTCCGGACCGCCGCGTCGCTAGGCAACGCGCGCTCCGACGCCCCGCGCGCGGCATGCCGGGAGACCCCAAGGAGGAAGGCCAGCGTGGGCGGGCAGAGGGCAGCAGGGCGTGGCCCGCAGTGGGCAAGACGGGGCTTCTGGCCGCCGCGGCGTTGGGGAGCGGGCGGCGCTCTGCGAGTCCTCTGTCCGGTAAAGCCGCAGCCTGGTGCAGTGGACGGCACCACGCTTTTCTGCCCAGCACGACCATAACGCACAAACTGTCCATCCTTTACTCAGGTCAATAAGAAGTCGAATTAAATCACGAGTGCATGGACACACAGCCCGTCCATCCCCTCAACAACGCCCCGGCTCATAAAAGGGGAGCACTCAAGTCAGGCACTGACCAAGGCCGAGGTTTGAGGCACCGTCTCGCCTGGGGTTCCTTCAATACCAGCCACAGCGCTAGTCTGATTGGAAGACGGCCAGGAGGCTCAGCCAAGCCAGAGAACTGAGCCTCTATCGCAAAGCGAGTCTTTCCCTCCGCTAGAGTCACCTGAGGCTCTCCTGAGGTGATGCCCAGTTGATCAAAAGCACTTTTAAGAGACGTGGACATCTTCAGTCTTCCAGGACAGCCATAACTAGAACAGATGACCCCTCTTGCTTTCAGAGGGAAGGGCAATCTCTTGCTAGTGATTTCCTCTTTGTAGAGGGACATAAACAGGTGTGGGTAACCCCCACTTTGGGCCTTCGACTCCTGTGCTCAGGATCTCTACAGCAGGAGTAGCCTCAAGGCTACTTTTCCATATGGCACCTCTGGGCATATCCAAGGGGGCAGTGGTTTGTTGCCCAACATGAGGGCAAATGATTGGGCTTTTCCTCAAACTGTCTTTGTCCCTCTGGACTTTTTTGTTTGATTTCTTCAATCTTTTTTTTTTTTTTAATATTTATTGTTTAGTTTTAGGTGGACACAATATCTTTACATTTATGTGGTTCTGAGGATTGAACCCAGTGCCTCATGCATGCTAGGCTAGCACTCTACCTCTGAGCCACAACCCCAGTCCCTGATTTCTTCAATCTTGTCCCTGTTGAAAACCCCAAAGGCCAAACTTAAAAGTTGTTTAATTGGAGTTTAAGGCCTCATTTTGAGGTCATGTTTTGCCACTCAACTTACTGTGCACCAAGTTGTATTGCAGAAAAAAGTCAGTTACTTTAATTTTCCGCCTTAAAATAATTTTGGTTACTTAACATGCACCCAAGGGATGAGGTCTCGGGATAAAAGCTGTATTGCCACAATCTTGTGAGTTGTGTGCTTCAAACCTTGCTTTGTGTCTTGAGAAGACAAGAAAAACAGTGCTTTTAAGGCCACACTGGCCTGTCCCACAGGGCTTGCCTACAGGTAGTCCAGTGCTTCTGAAGCCAGGGAGGCAAGAAATCTCTCAGGGTCCCTGAAACATCCCAAACATGCAAAATTACTTCTCTCTCCATCCTAGAGGCTGGAAATAATGTGCACAAAGGTTGGGTCTTCAACCCCCAGTGAAAAGAACGTCCCCGAGATTTTAAATACCTGGTTGTGCTGGGGTTTTTTTATTGTTTGTTTTTAGATAATGAAGTCAAAAAAACTTTGTAGAGTTTTTAAAAGGATTCAGGGTGTTCTTGAGTGGGCAAGGTCTGGTAAAATTTAATAGAAGACTTAAAATTTAGTTTTCCAAAGTAATCAAAAACATAGCAAAGCATAAAACCTGAGAACTTGTCTTAATAAAACACAAAATCTAGCCAGCCATGGTGGGAGACTGAGACAGGAGGATCATGAGTTCAAAGCCAGCCTCCAACAAGGGCCAGGCACTAAGCAACTCAGTGAGACCCTGTCTCTAAATAAAATGCAAAAATATGGCTGGGGATGTGACTCAGCGGTCAAGTGCCCCCTGAGTTCAATCAGTGGTACCAAAAAAAAAAAAAAAAAAAAATGCAAAATCTTTGCTTTCTGGGCCAGATTTTGTAAACTTTACCTGTAACAGTGTTGCCAAAAGCTCAGTCCTTGTCCTCAATGCCAATCCAATAACAAGGACACAGTTTTGAGAAAAAGGAAAAAAAGAAAGTGTATTGCTTTGTTAGCAAAGGAGAAACGCAGGGGACTCCTGTCCCAAGACTGCAATTCTGCCCATCAGAAGGAATGGGGCTGTGGGGGGGGGGGATTAAAGAGGTGATTCAGAGAATATGAGATTAGAGGAGAGATCAGGAAGGAGAAGATCAGGGAGAAGGTCACAGAGAAGCTGGGAAAAAGAAAAAAACATGTAAGTTTCAAAGCCACAAGGGATAGAGTCAAAGCATCAAGTGAGCCCCTGTTACAAGACCAAGCTACTTAGAATTCTAACTCTTAGTGACCTTGTTATCCAGTGAAGACCCAGAAAGAAAGTCATCTTAAATTGTTCTTTCCTGTATCGGCTGAAGGACTCAGACAATGGGCCCCAGGTCTACAACTGTTCCCGGCCCGGCCTGTCTGCCCGGCCCAGCCGGCGGCATGTGGGTGTCTGTGGCAAATTGGAGCTTTTGTCATTGCAGAAGGGGTGAAACAGAGTCCAGCTCAGCCAGAGGGAGGGCAGGAAGGGAAAGGGGGAGAGCACAGAGCGCCTGCACCTGGCCCTACCTAGAGCTGAACCTGCTGTCCTGTGTAACAAGGCCACTGGAACTTGCCTTACCTGCAGCTGCTCCCCTCCGCCCTCCTGCCCCACCCTAAATGAGCCCACCTCCAGCAGGGAACCAAATTCCTCCATGATCTGAACCCTATCAGACTCAGACCCTGGCAGTAGCTGTGGCCAGTCTCCCTCCAGAGAATATGCCCCCCAGCTGGTCTTGAGGTCTGTATTCCCTTTCATGTGCTTTCACCAACAATTTATGAAAACACATTTAATAGACCCAATTATAGAAATTATATGTGTATCGTCTTTTAGAATTTAAGAAGCCAAGAGTACTTACGTCTAGCAATTAATATTCCAGTGTTCTTACTTATAGATGACTGTTTGACCTCTATTATGTACGTCTGTAAATATTTGTTCCATTCATGTTTACTTTATTCATTGGTACCAGGGGTTGAACCAGAACACTTAACCACATCCCCAGCCCTTTTTATTTTTATTTTGAGACAGAGTCTTGCTAAGTTGCTCAGGGCCTCACTAAATTCCTGAGTCTGGCTTTGAACCTGTGATCGTCCTGCCTGAGCCTCCCAAACTGCTGGGATTGCAAGTGAGAGTCACTGCACCTAATTTATTTTTGATAGTCATTCCTAGATCACCTATTGTAATGGCTAATCTGAATTGTCCACTTGATTGGATTAAGAGGTGCCTAAGATTAAGAGGCTTCTCAGCACCTCAGTGAGGGCTTTTCTAGGAACAATGGGGAACAGAAAGGTGGAGGAACCCGTGGGTAGGAGCAGAAGCAGGGAGATTCTCTTGAGCCGGCTCTTGAGCAATGTGACGGGCGCCTGAGGACACCAGACTCCAGCTCTTTCACCTCCACAGGGACTTTGACCAGTGACTCTCCAGGGAGTTTCCAGGTTTTTCATCCCAAACTGCATGGTTGGACTCCATGTTCCCAGGCTCCAGCTTCTTGGACTGAGCAGCTCTGGTTCTCCTGGCTCTGCAGCCTGTGGACGGCTGCCGTGGGACGTCCCATTTCTGTCAGTCTAATAAATCCCCCTTTCTAAAAAGTTTTATTCGGAGACAGGGTCTTGCTAGGTTTTAGGTCCTAAGGCCAAAATAATTCCATTTTGAAAATCAGCACCTGTTGGGGCTGGGGATGTGGCTCCAGCGGTAGCACGCGCTCGCCTCGCACTCGCCTGGCCTGCGTGCGGCCCGGGTTCCATCCTCAGCACCATCTACCAACAAAGATGTTGTGTCCGCCGAGAACTAAGAAATAAATATTAAAAAAAAATTCTCTCTCTCTCTCTTAAAAAAAAGAGAAGAAAAAGAAAATCAGCACCTGCCCACCTAGGCGTGACCTTCTAAAGAATCCCCAAACCACAACAAAGAGGCCAAGTATCAACCACAGGCCAGAGGGGTCATTTCTAAACTACTCCACTGAGCATGGCGGCAGAGTTAAGGAGTTCCTGCCCTTGCCCTGAGTGTTTTTAACATGAACAGGCTCTAAATTTTGTTGATGACATTTTCTGCATCTGTTGAGATGATCATGTGATTTTTTGTATTTATAAGGTGACTTGCATTTCTTGATTTTTCACATGTTAAACCATCCTTGCAACCATGGAGTAAAGCCCACTTAGTCATGATGTACAAACTTCTTGACCTGTTATTGAGTTCTCTTAGCTGATGCTTTATTAAGGATTTTTGCATCTAAGGTCATCAGGGATATTGGTCTGTAGTTTTATTTCCTTGACAGGTCCTTATCTGGTTTTGGTATGAGGATGATATTGGCTTCATAGAATGAATTTGAAAGAGTTCTATTTTTTTCTATTTCATGGAATAATTTGAGGAGTATTGGCATTAGTTAAAGGTCTGATAGAAGTCAGCTGAGAATACAGGTTGGGCTTTTCTTTGTTGGAAAGCTTTTAATCACTGCATCTCTCTCGTTATTAGTTATTTGTTTAGGTTTTCTATGCCCTCTCGGTTCAATTTTGGCAGATTACATGTGTCTAAAAATTTACTCATTTCTTTTAGGTTTTCCAATTTATGCTAGCATAAATTTTCAAAATAGTTGCTGATGATCCTCTGGATTTCTGTGATGTCTATAGTGATTTCTCCTTTTTCACCTCTGATTTAGTGATTTGGGTCTGCTATTTTTCTCTTAGGTACTTTGGCTAAGGGGCTTATATATCTTGTTTATCTTTTGAAAGAACCAATTCTTCATTTCACCAATCTTTTGTATTTTTTTCTTATTCTCTATTTCATTAATTTCTGCTCCAATTTTAATTATTTCCTTCCTTCTACTGGCTTTGGAGTTGGTTTGTTCTTCTTTTTCAAGAGGCTTGAGATGCATCATTTGGTTGTTTATTTGGGA